TGTTTATTTAGTTTAGGGATTTCCTACACTTAATAGCGGGAATCATTATTTTTTTTTATTATTTTTTTCGGTCGTTATTTATATATTTATAGTTATTATTTAATATTTTATTGAGACAATTGAATGTCGGTTTATTTAAAATTAGACTGTTTTACAAAAATAATGAATTAATAAATAGTTATGATTTATTATAAAGAAAAGCTATTTATGTCAAACTGAAAATGTCTAATTTTAAACCAAAGAAAAACATTAAAATTAAGATATTCGTTGTATTTTATTTAATGCTCAGTATTGCGTTAGTAAAATTATTATTATTAAAAAAAACGACAAAACATATAAAGCAAGTTATACAAAATTAGGAAGACACTTGTCAAAAGAAAACGTCTCTTTGTTGACTACAATACTTTTCGAGCAGTTAAGTAACTCTGTCAAGTATATATTAATATTCTTTCCCATTTCTCTGACTTGCTCTGTTTTTAAAAATAGTAAACCATCTTTGTAGATAGTTATTTCTCCTTCAAATCCATCAACATTTTCTTTTTCAATTTCCACAAAATACCCAAACTCAGAGAGTAAGTCCTGTAAGAGTCTGATTGTTTCTCGTCTTTTGGTGACTTGTGTCCTTCTTTTAGCCGTTTTAAGTGATGTGTTGTCTGTTGTTGATATTAGCAACTCTTGTTCTTTGGATCTTTGTTGGATGACTTGGAGGATATTGATAGTATCAAACCGGTTAAAAGTGATATCCTTGATCTTTAGGAATTGTTTCGTCTTGTAGCTTTGTCGATGAGGTCGACCAATTGATAGCGTGGCTACTTGAGATAACAAAGCAATGAAGACGGCCTGGACATCAACTTGAACATTCATTGAGTACATTTGTTTCTCTTTGAACTTCAGTTTGTTAGTAATTGAGTTAGCACTTGATGTTCTGATCAGTGGACTTTGACATGGGGAGAGTATGTAATCATTTTGAGGTTCAGGAGTACGGCGTGCTGTTTCCATCTCCTTTATGTGTTTGAAATTACAAGTTTGAAGGATTATAAATCCTCCAAGTACTTCCACGATATTTTAGTTATGAAAATTGAATGCCTTGTTTCTCTTTTTTATTCTTCATTTCCAAAATCGGAACTTGACCAACCGGATACCGACTCCATTGGGGGTCTTTAAAGAACTTTCCTTACATCAACAACCGTTATTTTTTGAATAATCGATAATAACTTTTAATTAAATTAATGATTTAATGACTCAAGATACAATCAAGACGTAAATAATTCTGAAGAAGAATTCTATTTATATTTTAGTAATTAGGATTGTTTGGAAAAATTCTCCATTTTTGGCCTTTTTATAACCACCAGAAATAAAAAAATGATAATTGGTTCTTCGTGCAAGGCGGGTTAATGGGAGTAGTCTTTTCTTTCATTACCAAAATTTTCACGTGATTTTTTGAGCCACAACGTTGCTTATAATAAAAATCCAACTCAACGGTTTATGTTGCAAGACAAAGATAAATAGGTATAACAATCACGTGCATTTGTGTTACTTTTAAATTAAAAATTGTTTCGTGTTACGATAAAATGGTGTTACAGAATAAACATCAATAATTTACAGAACAAATATTACTTATTTGCATGGCAATAGTACTTTTTGATTTCAATTATAATGTACTTAAAATGGCATAAAAGGTGAAAGATCAACTTTAAATAAACAATCTAACACACTTTTGATATAAACGAATAATAACACGATAATGGTATACGCTTTTAAAATTATTTATAAACCGCGGAACAACAACAGACCATTAGTAAACAAAAGTTTAAAACAACTAAAGTGTTTAGTTTAATTTATAATAAAGAATCGTTGTAAAACAAAGAATAATATTTGGTGTGAAATTATTGCAAAGCCACATAATTTTAATCAAAAATAAACTTAAAAATCGGGAACACTTGTTTAAAAAATGGCAAGACTGTTCTTGTTTTATTTTTGATAAAGTTTTTTTTAGAAATGAAAATTTTTCGTTTTTTTTATAAATCACTGAACGTTAGTTCAAAACAGAGACAATCAAATATTAGAGTTAACATTTAATTGATTGTTTTGTTTGGCTTCTAATAAACCTTGTTTACAACAGTAAATTGGAAAATACAATTGCGTTTTCGTGTTGAAAAAAAACAATATTAATGACAAATAAATTGTTTGGTAAGAAAATAATCAGTCTATTTTGGGGTTTTTATTAATGCCATTCGAAAAAACTGACTGAATTTTTGAAATAAAAATTGTCACAAATAAAAATATAAAAACAACAAAAAATAAACTAAAAAAGCTTTATTAATTGTTAAAACATTCCAGGGTTTTCTCATTTTTATTTATTCATTTTTTTGTTTTAATAACTATAATATTTTAACCACAATTATATTAAACACCAAAATAAATGTTATTGACCAAGTTCCATTATTAAATAATAATTTGACAAAAAAATTCTGTTCCAAAAAATGTCAGTGTTTATTATCATCTTGAAGTGAGTTTGAGGATCGGTAATGGGTATTTACGTTAAAGAACTATTTGATAATTAAATAAAACAATTTAAAAATATAAAAAAAATGTGTCTGTAATACATAT